TATTTTTACTGCTGAAGTCTTACATTTTATGATTATACCACAATTTTGCTATTTTCCTATTGATGCATATGTGGTTATTCCAGTTTTTGCCATAAACATTAGTGTACATGTCTCCTGGGGCACACAGGCAAGAAATTCCCCAGAGTGTATGATCAGGAGTAGGATTACTGGATTATATGAGCTGTATACTTTACCCATACTAGACAATGCTAATTTTATTTCCAAAGTGCTTGTGCCAATTTTTTGTTGTTGTTGTTTGCTAAAGAAGATTCGCCCTGAGCTAACATCCATTACCAATATTCCTCCTTTTTGGCTTGAGGAAGATTAGCGCTCAGCTAACATCTGTGCCAATCTTCCTCTATTTTGTATGTGGGTCGCCGTCACAGCATGGCTGATGAGTGGTCTAGGTCCACACCCAGGATCCAAACCCGCAAACCTGGGCCACCGAAGTGGAGTGTGCCAACTTAACCACTATGCCACAGGGCCAGGCCCGCTTGTACCAATTTAAACTTCTACCAGGAATGTGTAAGAGTTCATGTTGCTGATGTGGTTGTTCTGAAAATAAAAAGCTCGGCTTAAGGGGAGGAATTATGAGTTGAAAGACACTGCCTTGGCTGTAGAATCACCCAGGCATTTTGTTTTCAGATTCTACTAATAACTTTATTCACTTTTATTCCATATACGTTGGCATTATACTTTTAGCATACAGGTCCAGATAATGCTTCCTCTTGGCATAACCACATAGTGTCATTTTATATGTTTAGGTTCTTATATAATTAAAAGGAAAAAGGGGAGCCAGGCCCAGTGGCCTAGTGGTTAAGTTTGGCATGCTCCGCTTCAGCAGCCCAGGTTCAGTTCCCACGCAGGGACTTACACCACTCGTCTGTCAGTGGCCATGCTGTGGCAGCGGCTCACTTACAAAAAAGAGGACGATTGGCAGCAGATGTTAGTTCAGGGGACTCTTCTTCAGAAAAAAAAAAAAAGGTAAAAGGGAGGAGGGAGGTAGAGAGAGAAGGAAGGAAGGAGAAAAGACAAAAGAAAAGAAAAGAGAGAACAGGAGAGGAATTGGAAACAGTGAGGAAAGGGAACATTTCCAAGTGCAAGGAAATATAGGAGATGTAGACTAACAGAAACTTGAGAGTAATTAGTTATCTATTGCTGGTAACAAACTACCCCAGAATTTAGTGGCTTAAAACAACAAACATCTGTTACCTCAAAGAGATAATACTAGGACAAGCAAAATGGAGCAGATGCTGGTGAGAGAAGTTGGGTAAAGAGACGGATTTTACAAGATGGAATAAGTAATAGGTCGTTGGTATACAGATGAAAATGATTTTGTTAGTCCGAGTCCTCCAAGAAGCAGATGCCAAGATGGGATTAAACTCAGCAGTATTTTATTAGAGGAAACACCCATCAGAGAATGTGGAGAAGCCAGAAAACACTGGGAGAGGCAGCAGACTGAGATGCAAGTCTGACCCCAAGTGGTGGTCAGAAGGAGAGAAGGTTCATTGTACGTATCTTGGACCATCAGCCAATCTAAGTGAATTGAGCAAGGACATAGGGAGTCCTTAAGCCACATTCAGCCATCAGAGAAGCCCCATGTCTCCCAGGAATGGCCTGCCTTAGTGTCCCTGCTGTGACCAGTCATTGTCTGGGAATAGCCCATGGGAAGCAGGGTCTCAGCACAAATGCTGCCATGGATTTCAGAGCACAGGGGTGAGGGTCCTTGTGGCTTACCTGGGGGATGTGACCAATATGACCCTTCATACCTGAGGAGTCTGGGCCCTTGGAACTCAAACCATTCTCAGCTGGGTTGCTGTACACATCCAGTCACAGGTTACAGTGGAGCAAGGGGGAACCAGGAGGCACCCAAGCCTATCACCCATGTTACACACGTATTCCTCCTACCCCCATGTGTAACACAGCCCCACCCCCTCCTGCAGATCAGGGTCAATTACTCCTCTCTTGAGTAATAGTCTCCAGGCACATAGAGTCCAACTTCCCCAGTGACAATCATAATATATAGTTCAATCGGACCTTTGTCATGTCCCCTTGTAAGAGTGGACAGAGCCTGCAGAGCCCAGAGTTGTGGAGAAAGGAAGTACTAAATCCCACAGTGGATGATTAGAAATGGTGATAAGTGGGGCCACACCTGCCTCCACCTCTTGGTTCCTTGACCCATGTTCTCTTCCTATTGAGAACATGACACCATAAAGAAGTCTCTGATTCAGGAAATACGCTGTGTCCTGAAAGATGTAACCCCATCCCTTCAGGGCATTCCCTCAAAGCTGTTGCCTCAGATGTGCCTTCAGAAGGCCTGTCCAGCATTCTCTGTGGCCACCAGCCCCTGGATGGTGCAGTGGATCCCCTGGTCATGGCCCATCCTGCACTTCCTTTACTGTGAAGTAGACCCATCAGTTGGATACTGTGCTAGAGCAATTCCACGCATCTGGATCCAACATTTCAATAGCCCCCATAGTGGTGCTGGCTGAAGTTCTAAGCACAGGGAAGGAAAAGCCACACATGGAATAGGTGTCTATCCCTGTGGGGATGAACCTCTCACCGTCCCAGGATGGAAGGGGCTTGCTCTATCAACTTCTCACTTCATGGCTAGTTGGTCACCTAAAAAAATAGTGCTATATTAGGGCCCAATATTGGTCTAATGCTGACAAGATGGACATTCAGAGGTGGCAGTAGCTGGGAAGGCCTTGATAAGTGAGAGTCAATGCTGCTAGACCTACATGTAGTCTCATCTCTGCCATCGTGGTCACTCGATTCATGTCCCCTCCTGCTAGTCCTGGGTTGACCAATGATGGAGGCTAGTTGAGGTCAATTTATCTTCTTGGCTGTTCAGTGCCTCTTCAGGGGTGGATGTTTTCTGTTGGGTGTGAACACGTGATTCAGGCTTAACTGCAGTTGTGTCACATCCATCTTATGATGGATTACTGTGGACCTGTCCAATTAATGACTTAGTGGGTTATGCAGAACCCAGTGCATATGGTCTTTTTTAATCACATGGCTGCTTGGTGTCCCATGGGCAAGCGTTCTGTCTTATCAGGGCCCAGTAACACCCCTAAAGTTGCTTCTAAAAGGAAGTTATTTCTCTGCTGTGGATGGCATGGATTTACTTCAGAACCCCAGGGGCCAGCATGTGATTCTCCCACTGGTATTTGCCTTTAGCTCCACACGGCATCTTTCCCACCACTAACACTCCAACACCATCGGGTCTGATGCATGGTGACTGATTGCACCATGGCTTGGATCTACTGCAGTGTCCTTTCATGTCCAAGCCCCACTCAAAGCTGGCATCCTTCTATGTCACCCAGAGTATGGGCCAAACAATGTACTTAGGTGTGGAATGTGTTGTCAGAACCCAAAAAGGTCTACCAGGCAGTGTGCTTCCTTCTATGCAGTGAGGGATGCAAGACACACAGTTTGTCTTTTACTCTGGAGGGGACATCCCTGCATGCCTCTAACCACTGGACCTCAATAACTGAGGCAGCCACTCCCTAGTCTTTGTCAGGTTTATCTTCCACCCTCTGGAGTGCACGTGTTTGACCAAGGCCTCCAGCATACCCATCCATCCCAATCAACACGATGTTGTCAATGAAATGAACTCATGTTATATTCTACGGAATGTCCAGAATGTCCTCTTAAGACTAAGTTATAGGGCGGCCCCGTGGCTTAGCGGTTAAGTGCACGCGCTCCGCTGCTGGCGGCCCAGGTTCGGATCCCGGGTGCACACCAACGCACCGCTTGTCCAGCCATGCTGAGGCCGCGTCCCACATACAGCAACTAGAAGGACATGCAACTATGACGTACAACTATCTACTGGGGCTTTGGGGGGAAAATAAATAAATAAATTTTTTAAAAAAAGACTATGTTATAGGGCCAGCCCCCGTGGCCTAGTGGCTAAGTTTAGCCTACTCCACTTCAGTGACCCAGGTTCAGTTCCTAGGCACAGACCTACACCACTCGTCTGTCAGTGGCCATGCTGTGGCAGCAGCTCACAAAAAAATAAAAAAGAGGAAGATTGGCAACAGATGTTAGCTCAGGACCAATGTTCCTCAGCCAAAAAAAAAGACTATATTATAGAGGGCAGGAGAATTAAAAGAGCCCTAAGGCAAACTGGAAAGAAATGTTGTTGTTCCTTCTACATGCATGCTAATCATTCCACCTCCATTTTTCTAACTAGAATAAAACAGAATGCACTCACCAAATCTACAGCCACATACCATGTGCCTGAGGCCTTACTCACCTGCTCTGGCAGTGATGTCACATCCAGCACAGCAGCTGCATCAGGACCACCACTTGGTTAAGTCTGAAGTAGCTCATGCATTCTTTAGCCTATCAGGTTTCTGCAGGGACAGATTGCTGAATTAAATGGAGATAATAGGCAACACCACCACCGCCCCTTCATCCGTCAGGTCTCTCTAATGGTGGTGCTAACCTCTATAATACCTGCAAAACCTCCACAATACCTGCCCCTGGGACACAGTATCATTTCTGATTTGACCAGGATGGGGCCAGTTTCAGAGGTTTCCTTGGTCTTCAGCACAAAGAGAGACCGTACTCCACAGACCTGGGACCCGGTGTGGAGGTTACATAGACTATCAAGTATATCAGTGCCAATAATGCACTGGGTTATAATTGGACCCAGGGTTCCCATCCTGAGCCACACTTTGTCCAGGATTCCATTTATTACCTGGCCTCTATAGGCCCCCACTCTAAGGGGGAGGACATGATTGATGCTGTGGGTATCAATGAGATTTCTGGGGCAATATACAATAGATATATGATAAATATATGATAAAATAATAGTATCAGTGTTTCCAGAGCTTTGGCCACCCTGCAAGGAGACGAGTAGGAGAGATGAAGGTCAGCGAGTGGGAAGCATGAAATGGAGACTGTGGAAGGGCTGGGTTATTGGCAATGGCATGATCTAGGGGGTACAAGGGAGTGGGGGCCCAGGGAGAGCAGAGTAGAAGGTCAGGGAGGAGAGGAGTTCAGGGAGTGAGAGCATCCTCTCTGCTGTGGGGGTTTCTATCGCTGCCATAAAAAATTACCACAGACCTAGCGGCTTTAAACAACACCCATGTATTATCTCACTGTTGTGTACGTTGTAAATCCAACATGTTCTCGCTGGGCTAAGATCAAGGTGTCGGCAGGTCTGTGTTCCTTAGTGGGGGCTCTGGAAAAAACCACTTCCAAGCTCATTCAGGTTGTTGTCTCAATTCAGATCTTTGCAGATGTAGGATTGAGGTCCCCATTTCCTTGCTAACTATCAGCCAGGAGCCACCCTCAGCTCCTAGAGAATTCTCTCTGCTCCTCAAACACGGCCCCCTACAGCACACCCAGTCCTTCTCCCACTTGGAACCTCTCTGACTTCCCCTCTGCTGCGTCTCTTCTGCAGCATCTCTCTGACTTCAGCCAGAGAAAATTCTCTGCTTTTAAGGATTCTTGTCATTTGTTTGGGCCCACCCAGATAATCCAGGATAATCTCCCTATTTTAAGGTCTTTAACCTTAATTTGTTGTTGTTAGTGCCATGAAGTCATTCCAACTCCTAGCGTCCCTGTGGACAGCAGAGCGGAACTCTGCCCGGTCTTTTTGCTGCAACCTCTCAACTTCAAGCACTATATCAGACAATGATCCACTGCTATTCATAGGGTTTTCATGGCCAATTTTTAGAAGCTGGCAGCCGGGTGCTTCTTCCTAGTCTATCTTAGAGTGGAAGCCCCACTGAAACCTGTCCACCATGGGTGACCCTGCTTGTCTTTGAAATCCTGGTAGTATAGCTTTCAGCATCACAGCAACATGCAGCCACCACAGTATGACAACCAAGAGACAGGTGGTGGGGTTCCCTGACCATGAAATGAACCTGGGCCAAAGCAGTGCCAAATCTTGACCACTAGACCACCAGGGCTGCCTTAACCTTAGTTGTATCACCAAAGTCCCTTTTGCCATGTAAGGCAACCTATTCACAGGTTCCAAGTATTAGGGCATGGACATCTTTAGGGACCACTATTCAGTCTTCCACATCAGCTTATGTTGAAATCACCAAGGATCAAGGTGATAGCACTACTGGAGAGGGTGATGGTGGGCCAGGAGCTAAAAGACTTGAGGAATGAGGGGAATGGTCTGGGGGTCCATAGGGAATACCTACGATGAGGGGAGTGAGAGCTCTAATAAGATGACAAGAGACTCACACCTGAAGATGTTTGGGAAAGAGAGAGGGACAAATGTCTGAAAGCAGCAACAAGGAGGAAGGACCCCACCCACCTCCAGGCCTAGGGGTTACAAGGTCCCTGCAAGAGGAAACACCCTGTGGGAGAGAACCTCATAGGGAGCCGTGTTCTCTGGGAGACCCAGGTTTCTGACAGAGCTGCGAGGTGAAGAGAACATCCTGAGGGAGCACTTTGGAGATGTTGCTGATCATGGGCTGACAACTGCAGGGGGCACAGTGGAAAGGTTTCAGGAGTTGGGGATGGGGAGTAAGAGGAGACAGAATAGGGGTGCGCAGAGCCTTGTGGAGATGAGCGTACAGGATATTTGGGGACCTAGTGACTAGCGACCTAGTGACTGACACATACAGGGAAAAGGACATGATGAGATTAGTCCTGGTGGATTCAAGGCCGATAATGGTGGTGAGTCTGTGAGAGATGAAGGTGGGGAGGAGCAGGGGTTTGGGGCTCTCCCTTGGGTTCTGTCGATGGAGATGATATTTGGGGTGGTTCTAGTCCGTGGACCATTTCTTGACCCCCTGATGATGGGATGGAGTGCCTGAAGGAGAGGAGGGGTCTAGAGGTTGTGCATATGTTCACTCTTCACCCTGAGGGAGGGGAGTGTGCTCACACCTGCTCAGGTCTGTCTGACACCTGCTGTTGGAGTGTGACTTCTGGGGCCCCATGTGTGACCCCTGGCACGAGGGTCCCTCTTCTGCCCTACTAAGGGGGACAGAAAACCGAGGGCAGCTATGCTCCTAGTCTCAATATTCCCGATGTGCGTATCCACACTATGGAATATTATGTAGACATTGAGATGTTGTTCCCAAATAAGAGATGATTTTATTCAAAAAATTGAGAGACAGGAAGTGGAAGAAATTGTTTCTACTTTTTAGTTTCCTGGGGTGTTGGTGGGGAGAGGGGTTGAGAGAGGAGACGGAAACCTCAGAGACGGCACAAGCAATACTGAGCTCTCCTCTTCTCCAAATGAAAGACATTCGGAGGAAAGTGAAGAGAATTTTATGTTACTTTGACATTTTACAGTATTAGGGAATTACAGTTCTTTTCTTCAGTGTAATAATAATATTGTTTGAAAGATAGGTTATTATTTGGGCCGGCCCCGTGGCTGAGCGGTTAAGTGCACGCGCTCCGCTACTGGCGGCCTGGGTTCGGATCCCGGGCGCGCACCGACGCACCGCTTCTCTGGCCATGCTGAGGCCACGTCCCACATACAGCAACTAGAAGGATGTGCAGCTATGACATACAACTATCTACTGGGGCTTTGGGGGAAAAAAATAAATAAAAATAAAATAAAAAAAAGAAAGGTTATTATTTAAGAGATGAATACTGAACTACTTAGGGATGAAGGTCACGATGTTGGCAAGTGATTTTCAAGGATTTCAGCAAATATTATAGAAATATTATTTATTATATAATAAATAAAATATGGCAAAACATTAAGATGATTAAATCTAGCATGACTATTTTACTATTCTTTAAAACATGAGGTATGTTTTAAATTTTTCACAATAATTTGGAGAAAATTTTTTAAATAATAATGCATAATGGCATGGTAAATGTTCAAAACATAATATTGAATGAAATTAGGCTTCAAGAGTATGTGTGTGTGTGTGTTGGGCAGGCCCGGTAGCATGGCAGTTAAGTTCATGCGTTCTGCTTCGGCAGCCCGGGATTCACCGTTTCGGATCCTGGGCATGGACCTACTCACCACTCATCAAGCCATGCTGAGGCGGCGTCCCACATAGAAGAACTGCAGCTTTGCAACTATGATGCACAACTATGTACTGGGGCTTCGGGGAGAAAGAGGAAAGAGAGGAAGATGGGCAACAGATGTTAGCACAGGACCAATCTTCCTAAAAACAAAAAAAGGTGTGTGTGTGTGAGAATGTGTGTCTATGTGTGTATGTGAGTGTGTTCTGTGTGAATATGTATCAGTATCTCCATGTTGGTGTGTGGTAGTGTGTATGTCTGTGAGTGTGTCAGTCTGAGTGTGCATTCACTTATTCATTCACTCAACAAATGTTTTAAAATCAACAACCAGGCACTTTCAGGGCAATGGAAATACAGCTGTGAATAATCAAAATCTCTATCCTTGAGCCAGCCCTGATGGCCTAGTGGTTAAAGTTCAGCACTCTCTGCTTTAGCGGCCTAGGGTTGGTTCCTGGCTGCAAAACCACACCACTCGTCTCTCAGTAGCCATGCTGTGGCAGCGGTTCACACAGAAGAACTTACAACTATACACAACTATGTACTGTGGTTTTTTTGCGGGGGTAGTGGGTGAGGAAAAGAAAAAAGGAAGAAGATTGGCAATAGATGTTAGCTTAGGGCGAATCTTCCCTGGCAAAAGAAAAAAAAAAAATCCTATCCTTGTCCTCATAAAGTTTATATTCTAGAGGAGAGACAGACAATAAACAATTAAATAATTACATGTAAAAATGTGTGTTAGTGAACAGAGTGTGAACAAAGGCAAAGCAGGGCAGGGGTGGAGGGAGGCTGAAGGTGCCATGGGCAGGGGTGGTGCAGGGAGGGCCTCTCGGTGAGGACATTTGAAGAGAATGTCAGGGAGGGAAGTGCTGCCTGGGAGATGTGTTTTCAGGCCAGGCCGGGGAACAGCAGTGAAGGCTCTGAGGTATGGACACCCTGGCGTGCTGGAGGAACCACACAGTGTAGGGCCCGCATCTGGGCCCATCACACGGCCACATCTGAGTAAAATGGACGTTAAGTGGACAGGGTCTTGCAAGTGAAAGAGATTTTTAACGTAATGTATTTTGAAAAGATCATTCAAGACATTCCAAAGTGTTTACGGTAGGAAATTTTCCTCCCTCCCCAGGCCCCCTCAGGTCCCTGCCAGACATGAGCATGATACCAATTTCTGATGTATCTTTCCTGAGAAACATTTATACAAATGTTGTTATTGTTGCTACATCAAGAAGGAGTACTGTCAAGAAGCAGAGAGTAGAAGAAAATGTTTCTTTTCAGTTTTCCCAGGGACGGTTGTCATCAAGGGGCTGGGAGAGGGCTTGCGGGGAGGAGATGGAAACCTCAGAGTCGGCACAGGGCTCCTGAACTCTCTTCTCCTTCAAGCCCTGTCCCATCCCTGACCTTGACACCTGTGGAGTCCAAGGCTGCTCAGAAGCTTCTTCCCCCCATTGATGCCCAGCCACCAGGTCAGCCATGTCTGACCAACTTATAGCCTAGGCCCTCCCAAGCAGGTCAGTTACAATCTGAGAGGGGAGCAGTGGTGCCCCCATGTGGCCACAGGGCTGAGGACAGAAGACCCAGCTCCCCTTTCTCCTGCTCAGCCGGGACCTCCCTAGGGTCTCACTGGGCTCCCAGCAGCAGGACAGGGCTCTGCACACACGGGCGTGCCCCTGTCTCGTTCAGGCTCAGGGTGTGATGTGTTTCCCAAATTCATACTGACATAGATGTTTCCTCCCCATTAAATCACCGTAGACTCTGCCTCAGGGCACAGTGAGGTCTCCAGGCCATAACAGCTGGTTCCCAGGTCCAGAATAGACCCCACAAACAAACTAGACTCCCTTAGTCTCCCGGGATGGGACCTAGGACTCCTGAGTCCTTATCATGTGTCCCTGCTGCTGCCTCTGGGGCTGGACTCAGTCCAGTGAGTCTCAGAACGTGGAATGGGGGCCTGGGGAAAGAGGAGCTCCTGAGGTGTTAGGTCCAAGAAGGAGACGATGTTCCTGAGGAAGTGAGGATAGGGCAGAAATAAGGACTTCGGGGGGTAGAGGCTACAAGCAGGAGAGGAGGAGGAGCCAGGGAAGAGAGGGACATGGGGAGGGCTGGCCTATGGGACACCTGTGGGGTTGTGTTTGGAGAGGGTTTTCTGGGTACTGGGCCATAGAGAGCAAAGGGCAGGCACTGTGCCACTCCTGCAGGAACCAGAGTTTCCTGGGGTTTCCAGGCTCCCACTGCCTGTGCCAGAACATCACGGCCATGTCTGAGCCCAGCCCCAAGCAGCCATTTGTTACAGCCTTCAGTTGTCCCTTCCTCCCCTAAGACAACCAGAGCCTCTGCGCCAGGCCAAGAGGCCCCTGAGGACCATGTGTGGACTATGTGGTGGGGCTGGACACCACTGGGCTACAAGGACCTCGGCAATAGGACCCAGGCGACCAACCACCCATTTCCTGTTAGCGGTTCCTGCACCCTCCACAGCTCGCTGCCCAAGGACTCTGGGATCCTGTCTCTTTCCTCTCTGGTGACCCAAGTACCCAGATCCTCAGACTGGACTTGTCAGGCCCCACTCTTTGCTACCCCAGCCCCTGAACTTAGGAGCTCTGCAGCCCTGGCCCCAAATATCATTTCTGCCCTGACGACAGAGCCAGGACTTTGGGGTGCTAGAGACTGTGTTTCCCCCAAAATTTATATACGGAAACTTAATCCCTAATGTGATAGTATTTGGAGGTGGGGCCTTTGGAAGGTGGTTAGATCATGAATGGAGCCCTCATGAATGGGATTAGTGTCCTTAAAAAAGACACCCCACAGCACTCCCCAGCCCCTTCCGCCGTGTGAGGACACAGTGAGAAGACGGCTGTCTATGACCCAGGAAGGGGGTTCTCACCAGACACCCAATCTGCTGGCGCCTTGATCTTGGTCTTCTCGGCCTCCAGAACTGTGAGAAATAAATTTCTGTTGTTTATAAGCCACCCAGTTGATGGGTATTCTCTTATAGCAGCCCAAATGGACAGGGGGTCCACAGCCACGGGTCGGTGCTGCAGAGCCCCACATGCTGCCGCTGAGCCACGGCTGCGATTTGGGCAGCAGTCACCCATGACCCCGCAACCCAGGCAGACTCCTTTGCCTGGCCCAAGAGACATTAGGGGCAATTGGTGGCTGGGCGCCACCTGTCTACTGTGGATTCCAGGAGGGAGTATTTCAAGCAGCCAAGACAGAAACAACAAGGCGTCTTATGTCAGAACCTCACAAGTCAAGCAGTGTCACCTTCCCATGTTCTAGTCACCAGAGCTAGTCACAGATCCAAGAGGAGGGGAATAAGGCCTCTAGGTAGGAGATGAAGAGGTCACATTGCAAAAGAGCATGTGGGGTGGGGGATATTGTGGAGGCCATCTTTGGAAAAAGAAACCCTCACAGTGTGTTAGAAAGTGACGGGAGACACAGAGAAAAAAATTGTGCAAAGTCAACAATCAGAGGCGGCCGCACCCCGCGGGCCGAGCGAGCGCGCCTGTCCGTGGCGTTCAGGTGGAGACCAAGCAGTATGCGCGCCCTGGCCTAGCACGTCAGCGGTGGGTGAGGAGCAGCACATGGAGACAACGGGCGCCACCAAGAAGGGACACGAGGCCGCCCCTGAGGACGCGTCCCCGGCTGGGGCCGGCAGTGGGGCCGCGGCAGGCGCTGGAGGCGGGAGCACAGCTGCCCCGGCCGGCAACCAGAAGGGCGCCCAGGGCGACCCGATCAACGCCAGCGAGAACGCGGAGGACGCGGGGAAAATGTTCCTTGGTGGCCTGAGCTGGGATAACAGCAAAAGAACCTAAAGGATTATTTTAACAAATTTGCAGATGTCGTCAACTGTACAATAAAAATGGATCCCAACACTGGTCCGTCAAGAGGGTTTGGGTTTATCCTCTTCAAAGATGCAATCAGTGTGGAGAAGGTCCTAGACGGATGGAGCACTGGCTGGGTGGCCATGTCATTGACCCCAAAAAGGCCATGGCCATGAAGAAGGACCAACTAAAGAAAATTTTTGTGGAGGTCTGACTAGAAGCCACCGAGAAAAAGATGAGAGAGTACTTTGGCAAGTTTGGGGAGATTGAGGCCTTTGAGCTTCCAGTGGATCCAAAGTCGAACAAAAGATGAGGCTTTGTTTTCATCACCTTTAAAGAAGAGGAACCTGTGAAGGTTCTGGAGAAAAAGTTTCACACTATCTGTGGAAGTAAGTGTGACATCAAGGTGGCCCAGCCCAAAGAGTCAACAGCAGCAGGATGGCTCTGGGGGCCGCGGGAACCGAACCAGGGGAACTGAGGCAGCGGTGGTGGCGGTGGAAGTGGGGGAAGTCAGGGTAGTGCAAAGAACAGGAAGAGCCAGACGCGGTGGCCGTCAGAGTAACTACAGGCCACACTGAGGCTTCAGCAAGCGTGCCCAACCAACCTCGCATGCTTTGTTTGGACAGCGAGTGAACACAAACAATGATGTCCCAAATCTAACTTGACATACTTTCTACGGCCTGTCCCATGTGCCTCTCATTTACAATGTCCCCTGGAACTCAGTCTCCTGTTTACTATTTCCAGAGCTCTAGTTGGTTAGGCAGCATGTGGTGTCTCAGGCCAGAGCGGTATTGCGGGCTGACTTTATTACAGGTTACCCAGAACCGGATTAGAGTCTGCTTCCCGCTGCTGCTCTGCAGCCTGGACCGTGGACCCTGGTTGTATAATTGTATCTTAGGAAACCAGTATCACCTTTTATTCACCTGTTAACTTCATATAATTTGTGTCATACATTTCCTGTAATGGAAGTGTTAATTTTACTGTACTTCGTGATAACTTTTGGGAATCTAATGTAAGATACTTTAGACGTGTCCTGATTTTGCCACGACCTGGATATTGAAGCCATCCAAGCTTTTGAAATAAAAATGTAACGCCCCCCCCCCCCAAAAAATAACAATCAATGCAAGGTGATGAGAGAGGTGGCAATTTTAAACAGGGTGGTCAGGATGGGCCTCATTCAGGCGACAGCTGAGCAGACATGAAGCAGGTGAGGAACTGAGCCATGCAGATATTTGGAGGACAAACATTCCTGGATCACCTTCTGCAAGTGCCCAGGGCTCTCACTGAGCAGGCCCTAAAACTGCAATGGGAGTGGAAGTGGCACACTGTGGAAAGACATCGGGCTGAGAGGTGTGGGCTTCTCCCTTTCCTGCCTGGGCTTTCAGGAGTCCTGGGGCTGGGGGAGGGAGAGGCACTGCTGCGTGGAGGAAGACTAGGAGAGGAGGGAGGAAGCAGAGGTGGGGCGCCACCCTCACTCCATCTCTCTGCTATCTCTCTCCAGTGTCCCCCAAGATTTGGGTGACTGACAAGGAGGACCCTGAGGGCAGTCACACTGTGAGAGGCCAAGCATTTGACTCTTTACCTGCCAAACCCATGCTGACTTGCCTGCAGGAAGACAAAGAGGCTGATGATGGACTCAGGACTCAGGGGGACCCAACCTAGGGGGGACAAGACACACCCAGGGCTGGGCAGCCATGAGGGTCCTCTCCAGAGAGGAGCCAAGATACACCTGCCTGGTGGAGCACCTGGGCCTGAAGGGCCCCTCTGGTGTGACCTGGGGTGGCTTTGTCAAAGGACAGGGGTGAAGGTGAGGGTGAACCTCATCCAGACCCTGCCCATGCTCTCTGCCCCTGCACCCAAGGCCCTCCCTTCATTCCTGCCACCAATGTCCTCAGTCACCTTCTGATCACGCGTATATCATCCTCATTTGGAAGTCCTTCTTGCTCTAACCTCCTTCATTCCTGCTGCATCTTCTCCCATAGCCCCAGGTTCTGACCCCTCTCTCTCTCCTCTTTGCCCTCCTGTGGTAGGAACGGCTCACTTCCCACTGAGGAGCAGCTCTAGGTGAGAGACTGGGCTATAGCTGAGGCTGGAGGAAGGAAAGGCTCCTGGGCCAGGGATTGGGGAGGGAGGATGGGCACAGCCAGAGGAGAAGCTGAAGGGTTGGGGAGGTGATGAAGGAAGATGTTTCCACATCATTTTTCTCTCATAGTTCAGGGAACCATCCTTCCCCCAGGCCCAGGGACATGGAAAGAGCAGCAGGAGGAGGAAAATATTCCACATGAAAGAAAAATATCAGAGATTCCTTTATGTCCTATCTTTTTCCTCTTGCCTATTATGGTCAATTTTGTAAGTGAAACTTGAAATTTTTCTTTTAGGAAAGTCTCCAAATATTAGAGAATTAAATTATTAATGTCTAAGCCCTGCAGACTGAAAAAACAGAAGCTTTAACAAATAAAGGCATGTGTGGAGAACTGGCCAGGGTGTGTTGGGTCCCAAAGTCTGCACTGAAAAACTCTAATGTGGAGCTGAAGTGGGAGCCACCTATTTGCCTGTGTGAACTTGGGCAGCTCTTGAACCTCTGTGTCCTCTTTAGAAAGTGAAATGAGCACCCAGTGCCCAGGTCTTGGTCTCTAAATATCATTCTCCAGTAAAAAGAACCAGGGATCCTTAGGTAAATAGCTGATTCTAGAGCTGAGACAAAAACAACACAAGAAGAGCCTGGAACATCTTGTAATGCCAGAAAGGAAGCGCACCTCCCCCAAAATGGCACATATCAAAGGGACACAGGAGCCAACCTGAAAGAGCTCCCTATGAACAAAGCTGGAACAATTTGAGCTGAATAATAACAAGAGTATTGGATTATAACCCCAAAGATAAAATAAATATCAAGTTCATACTGCAATATCTAAATGACTGAAAATTTTTTAAATGGGCAAGAATTCCAAGTTATGTCCTCATGTACATAGATGCAAGAGAATCCCCCTACCAGAAAGTGGAGCTTAATTTCCCTTCCCTTGAAAGCAGGCTGGACTTGGTGACCGGCTTTTAAAGAATAGAATACGGAGAGGAAAAAATCACTCAAACTTGGCAGACATAATTTAATCAGTGATAAAGGTCATGTTGACATCATGCACCCCCTGACATGATGTGATGAGAAGGACACTTCACTTCTATGGTTTTCTTCCCCCAAACCCGTAACCCCAATCTAATCATGAGAAAACATCAGACAAACCCAAACTGAGTGACATTCTACAAATTATCTGTCCAATACTCTTCAAAATTTTCAAGGTCATGAAAACAGGTAAAGACTAAGAAACTCAACAGATCAGAGGAGACTAAGGAGACACAATAATTTAATGTATATTAAGGTCCCTGGATTGGATCCTGGAACAGAAAAAGCACATTAGCAGAAAAACTAGTGAAACCCAAATAAAGTCTATAGTTTAACAATAGTATTGTACCAATGTTAATTTTTTAGTTTCTTAAACTTAACGTGGTTTTGTTAGATGTTAAGGGGAAGCTGGGTGAAGTCTATATGGGAACTCTGTGTTCTAGCTTTACAACTCTTCTGCAAACTAAAATTATTCAAAAAATATTTTTAAAAAGCA